TTTACATATGTGTACGAGTGGTGTTTTGCCGACAATGACCGCGTGTTACTCGATTACAACAAGTTATCGGAGCGCAAATGACCGGAATGTATGTTGTTATACACGGGGAGACCCGTAACGTTAAAGGGCGGCAGTCGTTGTGCGCGTCCTGTTCGATATGGAACTCCTAACGACGTATACAACGCGTGTAAAATACATTGTTTATTTACATGAAATTCGAACACGCGCTGCGTGACGACCACCGCGCTTTAAGCTTTATTACGGTTACTCAACGCTACTAATGTGAAATTAATGTGTTTTCAACACTTTTTATTCATGTTTCTGATATTAAATACTAGTAAATGGATTTCGTTCAACATCTATTTGTATTTGTTGCTGCTACTGTTATATACTGAAATATTGGTCAAATTTAAGGTCAATCAATTTAATATTGACAATTATATTTCTGGCAACGTTTTATATACATTTGTTGTTGCGTTTATTTGAATATTAACTATTCACCATCATCATTATCATATTATTAATAATCAAGTGTTAATGAATTTCAGGTTTTTCAGTGTAAGCCATACAAGAGCACCGTCGAATCCTGGGTTCATTAAAAATTGGCGAATAATATACAAAGGAGAATGTATTGGGAGAATAAAACTAAATTAAAGTGTCATATCAACGCCTTTATAGAAGATAATTTAAATGTGAATTATCATAACCAATGAACATCGGAGCAGGTAAACACGCATTACCAAGTCTCGCGTTATGTTATGGTAACTTTTCCTGGAAGTCGGAATTCGTTAAAGAATGTTCAAGATTATGCCCTGATCTATAAATAAAGCAACGGGTAAAGTTATATTTATAAAATGCAAAATGTGGAAACTATGTTCGATTTGTAATTAGTGTCCTAATCGCTACGATTTGTGTCGGATTATCGTGCCCTGACATGACTTTTCAATCAATGTTAATGTATTATGCTTCCAAAAGCTATTTCGTTCGCAATAGTAAATCATTATGCAAATGCCACTAATCGCACGCAGTTTACCATATTTCATTATTTACTTGATCACTGTGCGGGTATCGCGAATGACGATATCGCGATCAAAACTATAGATTCTGGTATTTTTTCAAGAAATATGCCTATAATTTTTGTGGATAGTTCAGAATCGACGTAATACGTCATGTAACCGCTAATGCGGGCATCAAACAGTTCAACTAACACGAACTTACAAGTGACAACTCGGTAGTATAGAGTTGAGCTACATCGAGTCTACCGAGTCGGTGTCGTGGAACGCAGGAAAGTGGTTAGACGTGGACGCAAGTCTGCCCACAATCCTTGACATTTAGTAAGAAATAAATAAAATAATATAATATAAAATAAACTGATATCGAATGTGAAAAGTGAACATAATGCGTCGGTAAAACAGAAGTATTCTATTTATATGCATAGATTCGTGATATTGATGGGTTTCCACAGTCGCACGCCAACGACGACCACAGCTTTGCAGTGGCATGTACAGTATTCTAGCGCTTTTTATCGAAAGCGACGCATTGTTCAAAGCTCCGGAATAGTCATAACGTGTTCGAATAATATTTCCATGCGTTTTATATGTACAGTTTTGGTGTTTCTTCAATTAAATAAAATACCATGGAAGTTTATAAATGCGAAAGCCGGGTTGCCGCGAAACCCAGCTTTCACCATTTATACACTCCCATAATATTTTATTTTATTGGAAAAAACACCAGAAAAAACAAACAAGAGACTGAATGCAAATCTACGTCGCATTCGACTGGACCCAAATTGATCGACACTGCGCGGCGACTGGGCAGCTTTAAGCTCATATTTTAAATGATTTCAGTCGCGATAGTGAGCTCCAACAATTGATCGATAATTTTCATACTTAGAAGAGAGAAAGTGAATTTTTTGTTTCATTTTTGTACTATTGTGCATGTCGCCACACAGCTTCTACAGTTCGGAAATGAATATAAAACAGGTTTGGGCACACATACACGACGATAAATCATAATAACATCATGTCGGATTGCCGTACTATGCCAGTGTACATTGAAACGATACATTATCGTTATCGCTACCCAACTGGCGAGTTTGTATAGCCTGGGTGAATATGTCCCTCTCGGCGATCATGAGCGATAAGATAATGAACACGAAGTCCGGCATGATTAGAATTATTAGTCGCATTTCATATTCGTGGTTTCAATGCGTTACTGTTTACTGAAATATGTCGTCGTGCTGAACCTAGCAAATGTTCGTACTTTCATTGCGACGCGGCATTATTTATGAGTGAATTAAAACAACACGCAACGAAGCCATGCGTACTGGAATCAATCTGTTGCGACAGAATATATACACATTTATTATTTTTTTAAATGATGAAGTAGTTATTTCCATTACGTTGTTTTGACGTTTTACGGGTGTTCCCAGCAATGAACACGGCAGTGAAAATGGTTATTTACTCCATAACCCCGTCGAATAGACTAGCATTTCCATGGGTACTACTTCCCAGTAAAAATATGACGAGCCACCACAGATATGATGCTCTCATCATCGCTATTGTCATGGCTGACTCTGGTTGCTTAGTAACTGGTTTCCATCATCACAGAGCTTATCCGTGTGAGATTTGGCGAATTTTAAATATTTCATTGCATTTTCCGCACGGATTAAGACTATTTAAATGCCGTTTTCTTGACAACTAAATGCCTTTCATATAATGACTGAATCAGTTGGATATATATTGAAATAGAACTTAGCCATTTGAAAATTATAAGACAAAAAAACGAACAAAGAGGAAGGCAAGACCAATTACCAGATGCCGTCAAATACGAAATATAAATTATAGTTCTATCGGAAACGAATAGACAGTTAACATTTCATGATCCAAATTCGAAGCAAAATGTTCACATCGCATTATAAAATCATATAAAGCAGCCATTACCGACTTAGGACCCCAATAATCTCCCTTAATATTTGTAATGGGTTGTCGTCATTCCGTCTGAAAATTACTGGGTCATTTTGATTCAACTTTATCAAGGTCGGTCGGGAATAACATAATTTACATAAACCACTATCTATCATGTAACATGAGAGGAAATGTCGGGTGCGGGGCAGGTCCCTTTCCGGGTTTATTTTGATTTAATATATCCAATATTCCAGATCACGGAATCTTTGAATATATCTTTCTTACCCTCAAACCACGACGGTTACGATCGATAGCTTCGCGGTATATGCCAACTTTGTAAATCCAAGCATGCGATAAACAGGTTTGATAAATTGAGGGATAAATTCATCCGCAGTGAGTCCCATTTCGTAATATGTGTCACGTGAGAGCATTGGTGCGTGAATCCCAGACAACGTAACGCACCCCAAGCAACAAACACAATTAGCTATAGAACTATATACATTGGAATTTGGACAATTTTTATTTTGTGACTTTCTTGTCCTAAAAAAAAAACACATTTTATGTAAATAATGTTAAAACGTAGTATTTCAAGTACGGGTTTTGCCCCCAGTCTGGCATCCGTCGCAGCAGCGTCAATGACGGGTACCCCATGCTATTTACGAGCTCCATATTTCAGTGAGAATGTACGTTTTAATTCGGGGGCTGTTTATAGTTTTTTCCGTAATACATGTAATTAATCGCGCCATATTGCTACCAACACTGCCGTGTATGTCGTCGTTCTTGTCACGGGCTTGTCCGTGTCAGTGTCATAGTGTTTCTCGTGGATACGCGATTATTTTTGGCACACATTCACGTAACATTTATTTCGCCACTTTATACACATATATCTTTGCGTAGTTCAGGTTATATACCAGTACGCGAATACGCACATAAACACAGACATATATACTGAATACATATATTAATTGTCGTGTTCAAGCACATCGGCTGCAGTGTCGGTGTAAAACGAAAGTACACGTCTCAATATGGCCGCGTTCTCTTCGAAAGGTTGTTGTTTTTCATTGCTAGGCGGTAAACGCGTCATAACCTGGTTATTCTACTGTTTCGCAGTGCCAGAGGATTAAATTATTCTCAAACGCTTGACAAATCTACTCACAATCCCGCCACGTATTGTTCGCGATGTTCCACCGGCTGTGTAGTCTTTTTCCTGTAACGCTAAGGTTTCTTTTCTAATTAGGAAGCCGAATTATAAAAAAAAAAAATGCTAACGACTCATTATACGCATTAGCAGTGTGTCATCAAACAGTACAAGCTGTGGGTTCATCTCACGTAACCTGTATTTGTTATTAACTTGTCTCCCTCCAACGACGAGAGAAAAACGCCAAGGACGAGGTTAGATTGGTTTTCAATCATCTAGCGATGTATTCCGTGATGATAATGGCAACGATTTCATTATAACCACTTTTAGACCAGACGTCGTGTTCATGTAATGTAGCTACTTAATATCACCATGTGCAATTTATTCCGTAGATGAGCAATCAATGCACAAATCAATACGATTTCATCTCCGTGTATGACGACTGTGTTAATGTATTTTTTTTTTCTGATTAATTCATCGTTCAACCAAACGGGAATTCCCAGTCAATCTAACATGGTTGCGTTGTTGTCATCGCAAGCAGTAGTACATTTCGCCTTATTGCCGGGAACTTAATAATCCGCATAGTTATACAGCGGGTCATTACGCAGGGATTTAAACAAAATAGAAATATTATTTCTCGCCAACACCGGGGGCTCTGGCATTTCATACCACTGCATTGTTGCGCATAATCTCTAGTGCATCAGACAACTCGGCGATGATTGAGAGATTGTTACCAAAAAAAAAAAAAAAAAACGGTACTCGCTATCTGACAATACTCGTCACCATTGTAAACCAAATGGCACGAATTGTTGGCAGAGTGAGTAATAGATAATATTAGAGTGACGTAATGACTCACAAACAACAACAACAACATCAGTGAAAAATATGTCGCCGACCACCTGTAAGAAGCAGATACTACATTACACGGTAGAAAAAAAATATTAATTAAAACATACCTATTGTGGAAACTACTGTACACACAAAATAAAATGATCCAGAGAAATCCCAGCGATCTCTCTTTTTATCTGCTAATAGTCCTTTAACGGCAGTTTTCAGGTGATACTCGAGGAATTCTTCGAACTCTTCTTGAAATGTGGAAAATTCACTACTATTCATAGTTGCATTCACTCGATCTAGAAACTCCGTCTTTTTCAATTCGTATTCAAGTTTATCTTTTTTCTCCTGCTCATGTTCTATTGCCGAAAATATAGCTGCTCCGATCATGAGGTAAATTAGAATAAAAATCATTAACAGTATAAAGCGTGCGTTATCCTCTCTCAAATGAATCATTGAACACCAACCCCCGCTTCGCGCCATTGTGGTGGCACAAGAACGGGCACCGATCGTTGGCGGGTTGTGTTTGGCGACAAATGTAGTACTTGCCAATTAACAACCCATACTTAAATTTAGGGAAACGCCCCTGTGGACTGTGGTCTCTCGGACTAGTCAACGGCATCCATTTTGGTCCATCCAGATAAGTTTCCTCGATGCGGAGATTTCAGTCAACAGAAAAAATGACATGAATATATAATGAATACTCTTCTCCCGTCTTCTGTGATGTCTTCGACGCAAACCTCCGCTTTCATGGAAAATCGTCGTTTCATCTTGAAAAAATCATCTCTCCGTTTTCGTCGTTGCTAGTGGACGATCGTTCGCGAATAACAGAACATGCCAGTTTGGTGATCTCGAAGTAAACATATGGTTGTCGGTATCCACGAAGCAAAACACAGTTGCCCGATAAACAAGATGGCGATAAGCGACAAGAAGCGAGAGCCAGAAGTAAATAAGCTATCCTCTTTACCTATTGTACGTCTCTTCGAAACCCACTAGTGTATATCTCTCATATTAAAAATCACGAGGAAAATATAGAATCTCCGTCGTCATCGTTGTAGATATCTTTTACGAAGGTGATGGCGACTTCCCTGAAATAAACGAGATACGGTGAGCGCATACGTAATAGGACAGAAATGGCTTTGAGCTCTTGTGCATAAAGGGGGGTTGTGTTTAAAAAGAAAAAAATAATTGCCTACGTATTACCATGGATGCAAAATGGAAAACCTACACAATATAGTCCTACCCCTGAGACGTGAAAGCTGTCCTTTTCAATTACAATTATCATTCGGGAAAGCGATTGGCGGAGTCGAGCTTTTGGCTCTTCTAATCTTTATTCAACATCCCCTGTAGAAAGTGACTATGCGCCGGGAGTTGCCTATCACGCATGCGTCGTGTTTATATTACAAATAAACTGTTCTATCCACGGGAAAATTGCGTTATTTCGAAAGAAACAACTGTAACATTGGCTTGCATCGACTCGTAGGCAGTTTAACAGGTGGTAATTGTAAAGTCAGTAAATTCCGTTAGAAATCGGTGTTATGAATGAACAAATCGATATGTCGACAGCTGTTCTTGAAGACCGGTTCAGAACTGAACAGGTGCATCTGACTCGATATCGGTGTCACGTGACTGTCAGTTTAATATTAATGCCTGGTTCAGATGTTGGATTCGTATCCTTAGTATTATAAACGGACTATTTGTATGGTTCGTGGTAGGATATTTAAAACCATCCATGGAACTAACAATGGTAAAGAATCACGTATCACTAATCCCCGACCTAACCATAGAACCCGACCTGGTTTAATTCCTTTGTATGGTATATGTATGCATTTGTTCGCGTTAAAAAACAAAACAAATACATGTTTGTCTTTGTGAATTATTACTTAACGCTATAGTGCGGGTACACTGATATTATTTCATTAACATGTACTGAATGGATTAAGGAAAACGATAAACAGTGTGAAAGTAATAGTATATTTTATTGCTCCGTATCCAAAATACGCAAATTAAGTTCTTTTAGATTAAATATTTTTTATCCTACACATTATGCGTTTTTTTCTTATTGATTTATATATTACAACTAATACACGCATGTGTACCCAGTCCCTGGCGCCGCCCTCCAACACAGTCACATGTAACGGGAAATAGACTAGACTAGTATAACCTATATATATGTCCACACGGGGAAGAACTTATCTGGTATGTGTAGGACAGGGTTCTGCAAAATTAAAAACAACCTCTTTCCACTGATTTTTAAATACAAATTTGCCCTTTTTGGGGATAAAATGTAGACTTCTGGAAAAAACAAAACACCCTTATTTTAGTAAAACACCGAGAAGATTCGATAATGTCTCGTTTTGTTCGATCGTCTCTGCGCATTTGATGCGCTTGATTCAGGTGGAACTTCTAAAACAACAATGTCTCTCAAAAACACTTTGTAGTCTTGGTCTCATGCTTGACCTATGAGCAGTCAGTCTTTCTAAAAAGTACCTCTTTTCAGTTTTGGTTTTCGTGGACATGCGAACTTCAAAAAATCATATTCCTTTCTCCGCGAAATTCAGAATGCGCATGCGTATCCCTCGAACAGATAAGTGCCCCCGGGATAAATACCAGAGTTCTGGAACAGTTTTATTTCGTGTTTCAAGTGATCGTGCTTTATCTTACTCAAATTCGTCGTTTACGTTCTTAAAGGGCGGCAGTCGTCGTGCCGCGTCCTGTTCGATATGGGACTCATAGCGACGTATACAACGCGTGTAAAATACATTATTTATTTACATGAAATTCCAACACGCGCTGCGCGGCGACCACCGCGCTTTAAAGAGTGTACATTAATATGCATTTTTAACAACACAATCAGTCGAACGAAAACTTGACTTACCCCGAAGATTGTATTGTATATATGCACTGGATAGTTCATGATATGCATTGGAGATGATGACATTTGCTAACCAGTTCATTGGCCTTTGCCCAACGCATGGCGGCGATATTGCATGTAAAAGCAATTCAAGTCCGCGTGGTTTTATAGCCATCGAAACTACCGATGTGAAAATTACTAGATACCGCACAGACTGATCCACAACAAAACAATAAGCGGATGAATTATTGTAATAGTTGACGAGATCCCTCGTAATACCTAATATTATTGTAGACAAACAAACATTTTAAAAGTGACTGTGATTCAGACAATCTCTAGGGGTAATGTAGAATGACGTGTAGTCACTGGACTTTGCACCTCTGATTGTTAGTCGAACCCGCAGTCCAGTCACTTCATATTACATAAAACGTGTTTGTATAATAGACTTTTAACCCCAATTACACTCCGATTCTTTTATCTGAATTTCAAACCGTCGTTTTTAGCACAGCCCAAGGTGCTACAGTCGAGCGTCATTAAACACTGTTAGGAAATGACGTCACAACTTGTAAAGTAGAACATGGCGGCTTCTTAATAAGTCCCATTTTCACGGACATGTGTTCTCCAAATAGCTCAGGCTCAACAGCCTAGTTTATCTCAGGGCAGAAGCGCTCTTTAGTCACAATTGGTTCAACTCAGTTACATACCATCCTAGGAACATCACCCGGAGTTGACATGAATAAATTAAAAATATTTGCATGTGAAATGCAAAGAGGGAAGGGTGATTGACACATGAACGTTCCAATAAGGATTACGAATGGATTTTTCTTAAAGAGTCTTTGGATTATTTTGGATTCATACTTCAACTAGTTAATGACACATGTGACATACTTATTAACATATATGCAAGCAGGTCGTGTTTTTCAACGCAGTGCACACTGACCCGGAGCGCATAGATGCGTGGGACGCAGACTCAACCATAATTTGTAATTATGGAGGTTTCAACGGAAAATCGGGATCATAAACGCTGCAATGTTTTTATTCAATTTGAACACTTGGTGGCGCTATACGCGGTATTATAGATACTTGATTGATCTCAATTAATTAATGCTACTCATTCATATTTTGTTTACATACACACAATGCAGCCAATGCTGTTATGGGATTTGTCCTAGTCAGAAAGACATTAAGAATTAAAAAAATACGTGTACTATCTGAAATACTAATGATGTTAGACGAGTCGGCAGTCTCTGCAATGATACCTGCGCTCGACATATTAGCGTTCGCTAGCTTCACACATGTTTGCGCGGATTTGATTTTATAACATACTGTACGGATTTATAAAAACTGTGCGGATTTATAAGACACTTCGCAGATTTATAATATATTTCGCGGATTTATAACATACTGCACGGATTTATAAAAACTGCACGGATTTATAAGACACTTCGCAGATTTATAATATATTTCGCGGATTTATAACATACTGCCCGGATTTATAAAAACTGCGCGGATTTATAAGACACTTCGCAGATTTATAATATATTTCGCGGATTTATAACATACTGCGAGGATGGTGTGTCGTTAGGAGTCACAGTACTATGGCAATAGAACGACGCCCTCAAGAATTTTGTATCAGTTTATGACTTGCAATTCTGTATTCCTACATAATCATTGAAAAAAAAAACTGTTGTTTATTTTCATTTTTTTCCCAAATAGCCTTATTACCCGATCAAACCGACCAAAACATTTAATAAACGAGCGACATGAAAATTGCACAATTCAGTTCAGAAAGAAGAAATTGGCCGCCCTGGATGAAGTTGAATACTATTTACAATATGATACAGCCAATCTAACACAAAGATGAAATCAAAGAAAATAGAATGCATTCGGCTCTCCAACTAAATTAGGTCAACTACGTGTGGGAGATATACACGGAGCACTTCAAAGAAAAAAAAATCATTTTGTTGTAATGATGATATTTCGTGAACATGCGCATTGTATCACAAAGCGTACTATATACAACTTGAAACATACATTGTCGGTAAACTACATGTACACCATATTGTCGAGTAATGCCTAGAATTTATTAGTGTTAGAAACACCATGGGACAGATAGATGTGAGAGCACATTCCGAAAAAATGTCCCGTGGTGTATGTTACTTTTACACTGATTGTTTTAATTTAATTTGAAGTATTGGGCAAAGTCAACTTAAAGCGCGGGAAGTCGTCACCTGCACATGCGTCAGATGGCCTTAGCGTGTTATTATTTACAAACAAGCGTCTACCCATGAGTCTTTGCGTTTATAGCGTGTGTCGTTATCGTCGCTTGGGACTCAATTCCCGTGCGTGCGCAGGTGACGACCCTCCCGCTTTAATTTCTCCATCTACAAATGATTCTGTAATTTCCGCCATCTTTTGACACTGACCATTCGGAAGCCCGGAGCATAACTGCTTTACGGCCTCGCTGCTTAAAATAACTCCACCCACTCAACTACACACTGAAACCTTTAGACCAGCTGCCGTGGGGAATTATAAC